CAGCTACTACTTTAGGTTCTAACAGTGTCTTAATCTGAGAAGCAAATGCTTCACAAACTATAAGTTTACTGGGACAAGTAATTAAAAGGCCAGGTGGTTGATAATAGTATACTCAAACCCAAGCTATAGTATGAATAGTAAAACTAGTATAAAAGTCATGAAGGCAATCCCTGAACAATAAAGGTAAAGTGTTGGATGACAATGTCACTAAAACCTCATTAATGCACTAAATAGAAGTCACATGCAAAATTAAACAAGATGTGCCATACATATTTTATAGCTAGTTCTACTCTTTTTTCCCCCCATTTTTTTCTTAAAAGCCTAGGAAGATCTGATTGTCTCGGTAGCTTGTGTGGCACAGCACAACCAACACTTACATCTGCCTCCAACAAGACAGCCAGTCTCTAAAAAGTTAGAAGAGCCACCAAGAGGAAACAGAAATGCAATAAAAGGCACAGTTCACTTAAGCAAAGAACCAAAGCACCTTGGAACTTCACAAAGAATCCATTAGGTGTCACCGAAGTGTTAACAATTCCTTGGGAATTTATAAAAAAAAAATCTAGACTAAAACCAGACTGACTGTAAGGCCCCTCTGGAACCACAGCACACCTTCCCCTCCGTTCTCAGGTTTGTAAGTCGCTCAGAAAATGAGGTTTATTTCGCCTGTTTTTAAGGCTTTTTATTGCACATGCATTTCTTTGGTTGGAAGGAACATGCACTTTTGTTAAAATAGTTCCATGATGAACACCTGTTGCCTGGTCAGCGGGTATGGATTTTCCTCCTTCCTTGGGGTCCCCTACTTGCAGTCAAGTCCTTTAGAACTGAGGATGACATGGGAGTATTGAGTCTTTAAAATCCCTGTTCTACATTATGTGAGAACAGACTGTAACTTAGAAAGGGAGAGGGAAAAGCAGAGGGAGAGAGTTAAGAAAAGAGAAGGGAAGGAAGAAAAAAGGGTAGAATAAAGGGGGAGGGAGGGATTGTCACAAATTTGAAGTGAGCTCTGTAGTTGATAAACTTCCTTAGCTAACAAGGAGAAAACAGCTACCCTACCCTAAACTCATTTTCAACTTGGAAAACAACCTCTGTGGGGAAATCCATGCAATTTAAGGAGTCAGCCACGGGTCAGGGACCACTTATCCAGAGCTGCTACAACAGTAAGACCTTCCACTCCAAGAGGGCAGAATTGGGGTCTCACGTGAAGGGGGCCAGATCCAACTGTATGGGGCCCACCTCCACCTGCCTCGGTCTCCAGTTAACTGCACAGTTCATGGATCCTTCTTGGGTTTAGTTCCTACCTCTTTGGCTCCACCTCCACATTATACCCAACAGGAAATCAAGCAATCCTAGAATGGGCTTAACATCTCAACACTGAACAATTTCACCTCATTTTCAAGCAATACACTTGGCTCCCCTACCACCACTGTACCAGCCTTACCACCTTCCTCAGTGGCCCTCAGAGCTTTCACTTCCACACAGCCTTCTTCCAAACTTGCTCATTACTTTTTAAAATCCAACTCCTCCAACTCCTCCAACATCCTTCCCAAATTCCCCACAGTTCCTGGATTCCTCTGCCCTTTGGTTCACATGGATGGTTTCCTCTGACAGAAAATAAAAAACAAACAGGTAGTTTCAACATAGAACAAGTATTCAGAGAGATTCCTTGTTAAGTTTTTAAAAACTTGTTTGCACATCCTTAAGCTTAACATCACCATCACGTAATTAAAATAACTAGAAGAAAATAAAGAAAAATCAACCCAGAGTTCATGCTTCCAAGCACTCTAGGATGCTCCTGATGATTGCAGGTTCACAGCTTGCAAGAGGTAACACCGCGGTGCTGTAACAGAACAAGCTTGCAGGGCCCCTCACGAGGGACGCGAGGGGGTGCAGGATGCCTGTGGCCAGGGGCTGGGAACTAACTCTAGAGATAAAAGGGGATGACCCTAGCTTTGGGGCACGAAGACAGCTCTCCGAGCAGAAAGGCACTTGCTGCTCCTGTATACAGAGGTCCCAAGCCTTGCCTTCCCAGCAGGGGGCCTGCACGTTAGCCGGGCTTCCACACTTCGCCCAGGGCTTCTTCCAGCTTATGTCTGTAGGCTGTGTAGCGCCTCTTCAGGTTCTGCAACTGCTCATCTTCCTCCTTATCCAAGATGCGCAAGAAATTCTGCAGTTCTGGAAGGCTGAAAGCTTCCCACTGTGCGATAATACAGAAAAGAAAAATGCCAGGTGTTTAACTCAGAATCAAGACTTAGGAATGCTGCCCAAGTGCACGGTATGACTAATCTCCCCCTCTGCCAAACCCCTCAGGACACAGATCTGTGGAGCTCAGCAGAGTTATGAGAAGCATCAACCTGCACCCCATTCCCTCCTCAGCTCACCTCAAATGCCCCTCATTTCCCTTCCAACTCTTTTCTCCAACACAGAACTCACTGCCAAAGACCTCCACACACCTATGTCCATTAGATACTGTCCTTATTCCTCACCTGACATAAACCTCCAAAGACTTAAGAAACAACTCCCTGCAGCTTAACTTGGAGTGATCATTCTCACTGTCCTTCTTGTCACCTCCCACGAGGAACCTTATAATAGTTTTCAGATGCACTGGCTTTCTCTATCTCTACTGCCCCCCAGTGCTGACTTCCAACATCTTCTCCTGTACCCTTCAGATGGCCTCCTACTCTCATTCTACTACCCGCCTCCATTGAACCCAGGGCCTCCTGCATGTAAGGCAAGGGCTCCACCGAGCTACATCCCCAGCCCTCCTCACTCCACTCTCAAGTTCCCCAGTTGTTTGCCAAATAGTCATAGTCATGGCCCTGTTCTGCTTAGAAGCATTCTGCCGGCTTCTCTTGACTGCTCAGGTTGTCTGACAGATTCGAACCTCTCCAGCACCATTTCTCATTATCTCAAGTGACTCGGCAGTCTCCCGGCAGTGAACTCTCAGCTTAAATGTCACTTTCTCTAAGGCCTCCAGGACTTCCTTCTGTTCCGTCTCAGCCAGGATTAGGTTTATGAGAAACTCTCACTGGGCCACTCATATCCCTAACCACAACCAAGATCTTTAAATTATTATAATTGTTTTGGTATCTCTGCGCCTTACCTATACCGCAGCTGTTTGGGATTTGTCTCTTGCCCTTGAGGCTCTTGGTTCTGTTTCCCTAATAGCACCTGGTAATTCTTTTAAACTAAAGCTGTGAATGTCAGGGAGAGTATTTGATATCCTCTGGAAGGTTTTTTTTCAAATATATCTGTCCTCCAGTCCCAGAGGGGCCTGGGACTGAGAATCACTGCCAAGGCCAGGAATGCAGAGAAGAGACTCTAGACAACCCATTATAAATCCATAAAAAGGAGCATGAAAAAAAAAAACAACAAAAGGGCCAAATGACAGAAGGGTTCTTCAAGAGTTATTAAAGCAAATGAGAAACATGGAGGACAGCACAACTTTCTACCTTAGAAAATTCTCTTAATTATAAAAATTTTAACATTTTTTCACATGTGTGAAGGTTTTCAAAACACAGACATTAAAAAACACCTTCTCGTTCCTAGCCCTAGCAGCTACAGAAAGTTTCTTCCCTCAGGTAAGTTTCCTTAAATAAGTGAGAATCAAGAATCCAGACATGGGTTCAATAAAGGACTCTGGAACATTAAAACAAAATGATAATTTCAAAACTAATTCCTCCCCACAAGGCTGCTCTAATCACACTGAACTGCATGAAATGCTAGAAATCCAATAACAAAAATAAAACACCAACAAGAGGCATGCTAATATGTCCAGCTTAGGTTTCTCAGAGGGAATATTGCCAAACTGCAAAACCCAATGAGACTTCTGAACCCTACGTTCTCCCCAAAATGACATCCTGAATTTCTTACAAAGTTTCAAAACTGTCTCAAATCACTGTCTTCCTAAGCTTCCCTGAACAAATTCTCATTTACATTTACATATGAATACATCGCTTACCATATTTATGTGCACTCTCACTTGTGACTAAAAACCACCTTTTAAAGTTTTTAGTCCACTTTACAGATCTTAACACAGAAGGCTGAACAATTAAAGATTCACCCAAGGTCACAATCCAAACTTAACAAACAGCTGGAAGTGGAGTCCTGGTTTCTAACTTTTAACCTAGAAACCCCATTCTTCGTGGACACTTCACGCTATTTCTGTTCTCCACAGAAGGCTGAGGCCCAGAGCCTGAGAAGATCCACTTAAGTGTCATTTAAACACTGGATCTAGAGAACAGTCCAAAGAGCTTTTTTCTTCCACTAAACTGGCCTAAATACAATCATCCCTGGAGAGAAAATGGCAAATAACATACATGTAAACATAATTTCTTAATCATTTGGGCACAGGAAAAAAAAGACTGTAGAAAGTTAAATGGTGGTAAAGAGATCAGATTTCCTTTTATTTCCCTTCAGTACGAAATTAGCCTGGAGACTTTTCTTAGTAGCAGACATATGGACAGCGTCAACTTTCAAAGTGCAGTTAGTCATCTGGTAGTGGGATGGGGCAAAAATGACTGAGTGGAGATAAATAAAGTTTTACTTTCTCCCACCTCTGAAATGCACAGATCAATATCATAATCATGGGAGAATTAAGTTAACTTTGGGTTCACTTTGGACAATTCAAAGTCTCTCCCTCTCCCTTTTTTCCACTAACCTTGCCTCTCTCTTTCCTCCTCCTGGTCAGGTTTCTAGACTAGAGCAATAAAACAAGGCCAGCTGTTCTTACAGCCATAATAGAGAATCACTTACCTCTCCAATTTCATGTTCACGAAGAACAAAACTAAGCGTGTCAGTTCTGGGCCCTGCTACCAAACGCAGGTAGAGAGGATGTTCTCGGTCTGAGAGCTTGCAGGCATAGACTGTAAGGGAACACACATGTTACAGGCATCATTTCATCATCTCTGAGGTCCCTTCACCACCCTTCCTCCAGATCAAGGTAACAGTTGTTTCTCCAGCCTCTAGGTCACCATCCTCCTCCTCAGCCCAGGGTGGAACAAAATCTATTCCGCTTCCATTCTCCCTGCTCAATAAAAACTATGCCTTGAGCAAGGAGGAAATAATGTCCAACAATAATTTAAATGGGTATTAGTCACAAAACACATTTGAAATTTATTAGTTCTGTTTCTTTTAGAAAGATAAACATTTTTTTAAAAACTTCAACTCCAGCTAGGCATGATGGTGCACACCTGCGATCCTAGCACTCAGGAGGCTGAGGCAGGAGGATCTCTGGGGGTTGGAGACCAGCCTAAACTACACAGAGAAACCCTTTTTCAAAAAAAACAAAAAACACCTTCAAACCCCTTTAAAAACAATGAGAATATACCGTCCAAATAACAAGAATTCAAAGCTCTAGTCAAAAACTCCTCTACAGATCAATTAAGAATTGACAACCTGGGCCAAGGATTTAGCTCAGTGGTTTTGGTGCCTGCTGTGCAAGTGCAAGGACCCGAGTTCAATCCCCGGTACCAAATAAAAAAAAAGAATTGACAACCATACCTGGGCATAGTGGCACAATCTGTAATCCAGCACTCTGGGAGGCTGAGGCAAGAGGACTGCAACTTTAATCCTCTGCAACTTAGTGAGACCTTGTCTCAAAATAAAAATAAAAAGAACTGGGGATGTAGCTCAGTGTGAAGGCCCTGAGTTCAATCCCCAGAATCAACAAACAAAACAAAACAAAAATAAATATGCAATCAGAATATAGGCTCTGGTGGCTTCAAGCACACACACACACAAGTGTGTGGTATCACCTATAAGTATTAAAAGATTTCATGAGGGTAATGTGTCAACAGGGTGCTATCACTTTCAGATTGTACAGCTCTAGTCCAGGTGAGCTGGCAAAGCTGGCAAGATAAAAATGCCACCCAAGCTTCTCTACATTACTTTGGCATTCCAGATGCAACTGCACTGCAGGTGCCCACCTCTCTGTGACACATACTGCCCCAGGCTGCTAAGCCTGCAGCCTCTGGAGCAGAGGAGCCTTGAGCTGTTTATCTCTGTACTATGCAGGGCCCAACCCCATGGCAAGTGTTCAACAAACAAATGTACACACTGAGCAGTTAGTTGTGCTTAATCCTGTGTGACTGAAGGACATTACTGACATGTCAAGGTCAGTAAATTTTCTTTATGGCTGCTTTAGTCTTTAAGCTTTCTTCAGTTTTTCTGGGTAAACAGTTTATTACTCACACATACCATTTCCAAATTAGCATATAGTGAATCATTAAATCATTGTTGTCCATTTCTGCTCAGCTGCCTGAACATCTTATTTGGTTTCATGTAGTGATTTAATATTTTCTACCTATATGAAGTTCAGACAGACATATCCCAGATCAGAACATTACTCATTTGTTTTCATGTGCTTCTGGAAGGCAGGATACCAAATGGATCAGTGTAATGGCCAACAAGACAGCTAAGGAAACAGGGCGGGACAGTTTGGAGCAGTATGCTGAAAAGCTACACACGAGCCTCATCTGCAAAGGACCAAAGGACACGGTCCATCAAGCCACTGTATGTATGTGTAGGTAGGTGCTATTGAAAACTTCAATCACAAATGTTTCTTGCTTGCTTTTGCAGGAGTAGGGATTGGAGCCAGAGCCTTGTGCATGCTAGACCTGTACTCTAGTGCTAAGCTACATCCTCAACCCTTTTTATTTTGAGGTAGGGTCTTGCTAAGTCACAAAGGCTGACCTTAAACTTTCGATCCTCCTGCCTCAGTCTTGCAAGTAGCTAGGCTCACAGGCACCTTGCCTGGCGAAAAATATTCTTTCATCTTCTAAAGGGCATTAAAATCAAAGTCTCTTGCCCCTCTTCCAAATCAAAGTTACCCTTCTGTGCACATTACCAAATCCTGCATAAATCCTCAACACACATGGATGCCTCTAAGCTTTCAAAACATGAACACCCAGGAAATGCTCAGTTCCTTCCATGATCACCATGGCTTCCTAAATGTGTCCCTGGGCCCAAACACGGGACACAGATACACCTCTTAGTCTTCCCTCTGCTGATGAGGACAAAGATGAACAGAAACAGAGACCACTTTCATGTTAGCACAGCCACATACCTTGGTCTTCCCTGTGACAACGCTTATAAAGTGCAAACTTGGCAGGGCTCTCCGTCACTAGAAATTTTTTGAGCAGGGCCTCGATAACTTCCCCGACAGTGTTTGTGCTGCTGATATGAAGCGTGTTCATACAGCCATTGCTACCAGGAGACGTCTGTGGAGGTTTGCAGAGTTCCATCTGAACTTTAATGAAGCCAGTGTAAATCCCATTTGAATTCTGAAGAGGCAAAGAAAAGCCACTCTTAGCTAGTTGGCTAGGGGCATTTTAGGAAAGGAGGGCATCAAAGGCAAACAGGAAGTGAGCCACTCTTTCTCTGGTTCTTTTCTCTTAGAGCTTCACTGAAGACTGCCCTGAGGGATGACCTTAAAGGGAGATGAACACACATCAGTGGTGGTAAAGCACTTCCAGGGGTCAGGTCTGCAGGGCAGATGTGGCAACCGAAGGCTCTCTTCTGTCTTTACGGCACTCAGCCCCAGTCCAAAGCTTGTGGGAAAAGTCAGCGAGTGACCTTTGGTGAGGTTATAGCCCCACTGCCCAAACTGGAAATGTATGAAAGCTTAGGGGTATGTCTAGGCTCAGTGCTCAAAGAAAACAACATCCCCAACTGATAATTAGCCATACACAAAATAGGAAGGTCACCATTAGGACAAAAATACCTAAATCAACAATGAGATGACAGTAAGAAAACAGGGTGCTTTTATTCCTAGTGGCTACAAGGCTGTGTATGAGATTCCCAATCTTGCTTAAACCTTGTTATGTGTCAAATTTATTACACAGCATGGGATGCATTTCAAGTACCCTGAGCAGCAATGCTTTTAAAATTTATTTTTATTAGTATATATTTGCCATACATAAAGAACACAGGGAATTTGTACATTTACATAATATATAAGCAGCAATATTTTTACAACAAATTCAAGCTACTACATGAACTACAAATATTGCAAACACTTGTCTTAATTTATGGTAGAATTACTATTTCTTGGTTGCCAAAACAGTAATAATGCTTTTGTTTTCACTTTATTTAGAAAAAAATTTCAGCATGTGTTATTAAAATAAGTCATCAGGTATTGCCATATAAATACCAGAGTTAAAGTAAGGTTTTAAAATCTTCCTTTTGGTCCATTTTTTTCCCTTCCAAGCGATCAATTTACAATATAAATTCCTTTGTCCACTCTTGTAATAAAGTACTGTACAACACTTAAAATTTTTCATCCTGGGGCTGGGGATTTAGCTCAGTGGTTCTGCCGCCTGTCTCGCAAGCACAAGGTCCCGAGTTTGATCCCCAGTACCAAAAAACAAAACAAAACAAAAAATTTTTCATCCTTAAAACAATAATGGAAACTTGCATCTGTTTTACTCTCCACGGGGAAAGAAATAAAAAACTACGGCAAGTGGAGTTTTTCCCCATGGATGAAAAATGTATTTGAAAAAGAAGCATCACTGCTGGAATAATGAAGGGACTTTTGGGATCATCTTACCCTCTCCTACTTTTGGCACAGTGCCACTGAGGAGGGACCTTGGTTGCCATAGGTGTTTATATTTTATATCTCCTCCCCAAGGTCAAAGAATTCATCTGGGCCTGTTCTAAACAGGCTACCCCATCCTTTTCCAAGCTCTGTGAATTCACAGGACCCAAGGGTCCTGGAAAGGAGCACCAAGGGATGACAGGAGCTTTTGTAAGGACACCAACTGGGTGGGCAACTGACGGGTGAGCAGATGTCAGCTCGTTTTCTTGTCACCAAGCACTGACACCTTCCCGCTTCAAACAGTGCAGCACAATGGTGTTACAACAATGTGTGGGAAGCTACAGTTTAAGTACCTCATCTTACACTGGCGACCAGTGTAATACAGTTAACTATATTCCAATCCATGGGGATAAAATCATCCTGCTACTTCCATCCTTACTTGACATAAGAGATGGAAATTATCTGGGGTCTTATTAGAATCTGAGTTGTCATCTATATGTTAGGAAATAATCCTTTAAAGAAGAAGGGTTGCAAACTCTTCTAAAATAAAATTTTAACGTGTTACATTTTTTAAAGCTTACCTAACAACAAATTTTCAGATAAAGCTACTTCAGAATACAGATTTAACTTGAAAGCTGCAGAAATATTCTATTTTCCTGCTCTGCATATCTTAACCATTAAACTTCTATAAATGTTATTCAGACTCTGTAAAATATACAGATTATATCATCAACAACTTATTATCTGTCTTTTGATGAGGGTCAGCCTAAACAGTTCAACAATTTACATTTGTCCTTCAAAGGATGCCAACCTAAACAGTACTAACGGTACTTACCAAGGTCATCTTCAATTTGTCTGTGACAGCTAAATTGTATTTCTGAACCTTCTCTTTGATTTCCTCTTTGCTGAGGTAATTGTGAGTTTCCTTCTCTTTCTCTACATCCTAGAAGAAAAACAAATAGTGCCACACATGAGCAATCATAGGAAAAAATGCAGATAAACCAGGATTCTTTTTATCTCCCATACCAAAGTAAGCGGGTGCACTTTACCTTGAAATGTGCACATGCGCGCGCACGCACACACACACACACACACACACACACACACACACACACACACGGTCTTTCCAGAATGATCTACCAAGTTACAATGCTATAGTAAATTCCTCAGACTACAGCCTTCCTAGGATATACAGTAATTAAAACTACTTAGTCAGCAGCTAAAAGCAACACTTCACTAAATACTATTTTGAGAAACCGTCATTGCTAAATCTCCCTTCTGCAAAAACATCCCTCCTCCAGAATACTTCCTAGATTGGCCATTTATACTTTAAAGAATGGGGGCGGGAGGGCCGGGGATTTAGCTCAGTGCCACCAAGCCTGCCTCGCAAGCGCAAGGTCCTGACTTCGATCCCTGGTTACCGCCCCCCCCCAAAAAAAGAATAGGGGAGAAGGGGCCCAGGGTCTTGCTATATAGTTCAGGTGATGTGTGCCACCACGCCCCACTTTACTTTAATCCACACAGGTACATACCAAAAGCCTCTCTTTAGCAAATGCTATTAACATTATGGCATTTATGCCTTTATAACATTTATTAGCAAAAAGTATAGTAATTAATAAGTATTAATTGAGCAGCACTAATCACAGACCTCTTAAAAACTAAAAACAAGTACCAGAGGGTAATTTACCTTCCCTACCAATTCCTATGCCAAGACACAGGTAGCCAGACTTCCTCCACCCACCCATTCCTACCACCCCTCCACTCTCACCCCACCTTGGCCTCCTCACCTGGGGAGGAAATTACTGGTTAAATTCTTGCATCACTATGAAGACCTCATTTAAAAAATTGTCTAAAGAGCTCAACAGTGCATGACATTATGAAGTAGGTAACATGTGATTACAAATGGCCAAACTGCAATATTTTGTGATGCCAACAAAGTCACTATATACAAGGCACCTAATGTATCACTTAACTCTTCCAACAACTCACAGAATAGGTATTATTACTGAAGTTTCCAGATGAGGTCAAGTTCCAGGCAGTAAACCAAACTGCTAAAAGAAACTTAACTGCTCAGTGGAAGTGATGAACTTACCTGAAATCTGAGCCCAAAGCCCACCAACTCTGACTGACTCCAACCATGTATGGATGCCTCTCAGCAACTTCACATGGTTGGTCTCAATAAACCCTCTCAAATGAGCTGATCAGCAACCCCATGTTACAGAAAAGAGCAGATTTACAGAAGTCAAAGAGCTTGTGCAAGGACAACCCCACTGGCCACCAGACCATGCCTCATTTTGATCCAAGTCCTCTATATTGTTTCTACTAAATTGAGTAAGTCTCCAAGGCTCTGGTGTGGGTAAACATTTGGGGTTGTTTGTTTTTTTCAGATAGGGTCCACCATGTAACTAGGCTGGCCTCAAACTCATGATCCTCTTGCCTTAGCCTCCCGCATAATGTGCCACCCTGCCACCTGATGTGGGTAAACATTAGAAAACTTAAAGTCTGCATAATCAGATTCAAACCTATGTAGCAACCTAGAAAAGAAGGGCCTAAAAATGCTCCAGACTAAGAGAGGAGGCGCATAGGCCTTTTCCAGCCAGGCCTAACACACTATCCTCACAGCTGGATATTCTCCAAGCAGGCATTTGTTCACATCTACTCGCTGTGAGCTGCTGTTATAAATACACCAGGAATGGTCACTACAGAACTTGCAGGAATGCCATATAGAGTATAAAATGCCTCTTGAGCCACTCAAGTCTCAAGTTCTTTAATTTGAGACCCTAAGGGGGTGTGCTGACTATAAATTATCTCAGCATTTGCCATTTTAGCAGCCCTGTTCCCTCAAGATCTGATGGGTGTGTCTCATCATGGTGAATAGGAGCAGATAGTGTGCTCTTTCCCTTGCTTTGGGGCAGGCCCCCAAGCCCCTTGAAAGTATTCCCTTGGCTAATGCAAAACCCCAAAGCAATCTTATTTTTGGTGTTACTGGTTAGGGATAAAAAAGCTGTGGATTAAAATAACTTCAAACTATCGCTTCAGTGACTATCTCCAAGGAAATTTAAAACATATACCACATCTCTGCTTGTCCTCCTCTTTCTGGTCCACAATTAGCTGACTACCAGCTATAGCCTGGGGGAAAATAAGGTAGCCTTTTTCTCTGCTTCCCCTCCCCTGACTGGGGATCAAACTCAGGGGCACTTTACCTACTGAGCTATATCCCCAGCCCTTTTTATTTTCATTTTGAGACAGTCTCCCTAAATTGCCCAGGTAGGCTTCAAACTTGTGATCCTCCTGCCTCAGCCTCTACATTCATTCTCAACTATTAATTGCCCAGTTGTTCCTCAGTATCTACAGGGTATTGGTTCCAGGGCTCCCAACAGATATCAAAACTCTTAGATGCTCAAGTCTCTTACACAAAATGTTGTATTTCATATAATCTATGCACATCATCCAGTCCACTTTAAATCATTTCTAGATTATTTGTGTCTAATACAATGTAAAGGCTATGTACATAATTGTTACACTGTATTGTTTAAGGAATAATGACAAGAAAAATCTGCATATATTAAATACAGATACAACTGGTTGGCTGAATCCACAGACACTGATCCCTCAGGGGAGACTGTACTAAAAAAGCAAATTACAAAGTCTCAGTGTAGAATGAGAAGTTGGCAGGGAAAAGGGTGTTGTGGAAAGTACATTTGGTCTAGCAAGACCGGGACTCTGACCCCTAGTCCATCACCAGCTCACCCGGGCTCCAGGCTTACTAATTTTTCTGAACCTGTTCCATCACTTCCTCTCAAATGAAGAGACTTAAGCAGATCACTTCTAATGTGTTTTCTGACCTAAATGGATCTGATTGCAAAGATCTGATGCTGCTTTCACTGGTGTGACCAAGAGGGCAAAGCCATTCCACAGGTTCATCATTAAAAGCTCACCAAGGGCCAACAACACATATACAGTCACAGACACAACATCCTCAGCTAGGGGCTTTATTGGAAGTGAACATTCCAGGAGTCAGAAGGAAAGAGGGGTAAAAGGAGTGATTAAGAGCAAAGAGAAAGGTTAATGAGTAAGGCTGGGCCATTGTTAATCAGGCCTTGCTGATGATACTAGACTTGGCACCCATCCTAGGCTCCCTGGTGTCAGCAGGCCACCGGCAGCAGTCCAGGAAGCTAGAAGATCAAAACAGCAACCCAGTCTGAAAGAGCAATGCCCCTGGATCACCCACATACAGACAAATGAGATGCTCTCAAGTAGCAATTATCTTTCCTTCTCAGAGATTAAAAACCAAGGGAACTGCAGGGAGCAGTAACAGAAGACAGTGGGACTCAAGGATCTCCAAGATCCCTTACAGGCTAAACATCTTGTTATTGAAAGATTAACCAAAAAATAAACCCCAGAAAAGCAGCTAAATGCTCAAAGGGCTGTGAAGCTGTGTTTTTAGGTCAACTCACGTAACAACTGTATGTTCATTCAGCAGATGCTTGCCAGGCATCTGCTGTGTGCCAGGTACTTGCCTAAAGGGGGCAGGGCAAAGGTCCACACCACCTCACGGTGGCTAACGTCTACACCTAGCACAGGCTGAGATGAGTGAGAGAGGCAGGGAAGGAATTGCTTCAACAGTCCTAAGTAAGACCACTTCTGAGAGTGGAGGACTGTGGCAGCTGGGGAGAAGCCACAAGCTCAGTTTGGGGGTCCAGGACTCTTGTTTTCTGTTAGTGTTTAAACCAGAGAAAGACCCTTAACTTGGAAAACCTGCAAATGGCTTAAACTTTTTAGAGAGGACCTTCTCCCCCTAAGCTTACCTAGGGAAATTTCCTCCTCCCTCCAAGCATGCTGAGACTCACCACAGCAGCAGCCTGGGCATAGGCGCCATTGGCAGGAAGGAGGGGGAGAAGAAAAAGGAGCCCAGAAGGGGCAAAGGAGGTACGACAGGCAATCAAAGCAAGAAGAGGGTTAAGCAGTGGTGTGATGGGCGTGGCTCGGGTAAAACACAGAGCGTAAACAGGACTCTCCCGGCCAAGGCAGAAGAGGAAATGGCATGGGGTGCAGCAGCCTGTGAATAATGCATGGATTATTGTTCTTGGCAGCGGGGAGGTGCTGAGGCCACGCCTGAGAATGTCTGCTTGGCAGGTTACAAGTTATCTTTGTCTAAATCGATTTTGTTTTATATTCCCCAAACCTGAAGCTTCTTGGAAGGAGAGTTCTTCCAAGGGAAATTCTATCCCAGAAGTCCCTGAGGGCTTGTTCCCCGAGAGCTGGCCTGGGTGGGGTCACATTGCTGTGAATGTTTGTGCCAGTGAACTTTCTCAGAAGGGGCACACCCCACCTCAAGGACCTGTCAGACCTTCCACCAAGTCTAAGGGTCTGCTAATTGCTTATGCTAATTAGGCTAACTCTTAGGAAATTTTGAAATTATATCAAAATTTAAAATATGAAACAATATTAAAAACAAAAATCTCTAAAAAATAGAGAACAATTGGAAGTGACTTCAAAAGATGAGAATGTTCCTACTGCTCTCTTTTAGCCTAGTGAAGGGATGTGGATTATGGTTCAGACATCATTAGGTCTAAAATTACTGCTGTGCCATCTTCTAGTTGTGTGACCAATGGCAAGTTAACCTCTCTAAGCCTTGGTTTTCTCATCTTTGTAAAAATGTGCACAACAATACTACTTTATACCACTGTGAGAAGATGCCAACAGAAACCATTATTCACAATGTACTGAGTGTCTAATGGTGCCAGGGTCTCTGTCAAGCTCTTCAAACTCCAAGAGACAGTTGTGGTTCCTGACTCCTCTTGGCTGACAGCCCAGACAAGTCTGCCTTACTCCTGATGTTACTCCCTTGGATATGGTTGAGTTTTTCTTTTTCTTATTCTTATTCTGCACCACAAACCTCTTTAAAAAATAAAGTAGGCTTGGGGATGTATCTCAAACAAA